CGGTTCTGACTCGATGGCACCTGACAACAACAATAACAATTTGAAACACAGTAGAGCTTTCTGTCATCAGGAATATATCTGAAGTGAGTGTCTTTGATGCATACATGCATCCCAAATTATACGTGAACCCACATTATTGTGTTAGCTGTATAATTCACAGCAAGGTGATCAGGAACAATTCTTGTGAAGCCCGGAAGGACCAAACACCCCCACCCAAATTTAAACCTGTAGATGAAGCCTCACGACCTCCACCAAAACCCATGTAAAGATTTGAGCCCTTCAAGGCTGATGAAAAACTAACCTGCAAGAAAATAAAATGGAAATTATCCTTAAAAAATATTAAATAGTAAAGCTATCAGTTTGAGGACTAAGGTGTGCCTGACTCAAGCCATGGTACTTCCAGTCACCTCACATGCATGTGAAAGTTGAGTAATTAACCAGGAAGATTACAGAAGAATTGATACGATTGAATTATGATGTTGGAGATGAATAATGACATTACCAGAAGAACAAACAAATGTGTCTTTGAAAATGTGTAACTAGAATGCTCCTTAGAAGCCAGAATGGCCAGACTTCATCTCTCAGACTTCAGACATGTCAGGAGGGACCAGTTGCTGGAGAAGGACATCATGCTTGGTAAAGTGGAGGGTCAGCAAAAAGAGGAAGGCCCCCAATGAGATGAATTGGCACATTGGCAGCAGTAATAGGCTCAAGTGTTAATGACGATTGTGAGAACAGTGTAGGTGTGGGCAGTGTTTCGTTCTGTTGTGTGCAGGGATCCTATTAGTCAGAACTGACTCAACAGCACCTAACAAAAACAATAACTATTCTTTGTATTTAAACAACGTCCATTTGCTATCATTGTTTTCCTTGTCCTCTAAAAGATCACAGATATGACAAATGAATTGATCTCAGATATGTTCATCAAATTTTGAAATATTAGGAGGAAACTTGAACTAGGTAAACTTAGAACCAATACAAACAAATAGTAGTTTGTATTGTTGTTGTTGTCAAGTGCGGTCCAGTCGATTCCGACCCATAGCGACCCTGTATAGGGTTTCCAAGGAGCAGCTGGTGAGCTTGAACTGCCGAACTTGCAGTTCAAACGGCTTTGCAGTCTGGCGCATTAACCCACAGAGCCACACCAGGAAAGGGTAGCAATTAAGAAAGCTCTCTTACAAAATCATCAAAAGTAAGCATATATGTAGATCTACTGGGAATTACACAGTTAATCAAGTCTTGGTATGGGGGGAAAAAAATCAATAGGGAGAAAAATCAGAAACAGAATCAAAGTTAATGTGTTATCAATTACCTCAGTAAACAGCTGTCTCTTCTATCATGAGACCAGAAAAACTGGATATTGCCCAGGTATTAATACTGAACGTTTTCATCAGAGATTCTATAGAAGAACCCTGATCAAAAGGGGGGAAATGTGGAATGGAATTCCAATTCCTCACAGAATCCAGTCTTTTTAGAGCTATAAAGTCAAACTCCAACCTTACTGCCATCTAGTTCATTCTGACTCACAGCAACCATGGATAGGGTTTCTGAGACTCTACATCTGATGTGACTCTAAGACCTGGTGTTTCACTGTAGGATAAGCACAGGACTGCAAGGTTGGTTTGAACCTCAAGGTCGATGGTTCAAACTCACCAGTCGCTCCTGGGAAACTCTATACAGGGTCGCTATGGGTCAGAACCGACTTGACAGCACTTAACAACAACAACAATATAAATCTTTATGGGAGCAGAAAGCCTCATCTTTCTCTCATGTAGCAGCTGGTGGGTTTGAACTTCCAACTTTGTAGTTAAACCAGTAGGATAAGCAGTCCAGTGCTTATCCTACAACTCCACC